ATATAATTCACATTTATTTGGTAGGTGTTTTGTTCCTTTTATCGAAGCGACTTGGATGTAAGATGCATGTTTTGTGCATGAACATAAAATATTCCAGTATCATTATTACCTGAAATGAACTTTTTTAATGAAGGATAACGTTATCCTAAAGAAAAAGTCTATCCCCTGCCCTATTACATCAAAATCCATCAACATATTTGTTTAGAACTGTTTTCGCTGTAAACGGTGCTTGATCTGTGCATATTTCTCTCCTGATTCAGATGAGGCTACTTTTTCCACTTAAGAAAACAATATAGAAGACTCTAGTTTAGCCAAAAGCAATAAAAAAATTAATGGATGGATTTGTTTCTTGCAAACGCACAGCTTTTGGCTTCACAAGACAATAATTGATGGACTGTGAAGATTACTTCACTAGTGGGTTATTGTGATGTTTTTATCAGCTGTTTGGACTCTCATTCTGACGGCACCCATTCACTGCAGAGGATCCATTGGTGAGCAAGTGATATAATGCTACATTTCTCCAAATCTGATGAAGAAACAAACTCATCTACATCTTGGATGGCCTGAGGGTGAGTAAATATTCAGCAAATTTTCATTTTTGGGTGAACTATTCCTTTAGATTGTTAGATAATGCCGGGAAGGACGTCCGATACATGGGACTGGCCAAAATTAACATTTTACAAAGGGATACAGGCACTTTTTTCTTGGTTAATCTAATCAGTCTCACAAACAAAAGCATGAAAATTCTGCATTAAAACATGAAACATCATATGACACCAAAATGTACTGTACTCATGAAAAGTGCTTGTGTATATGAACCATACCTAGATCTGAGGACAGAGTGAAATGACAGGGCAGATGTCGTCCCTCATGAGTGCTGGGGTCTCCAGCCTTTCTCACCCACTCCACAGCTGCGTCTCCATGGACACCAGCTGGCCCACCACATCCAGCAGGATGAGGGGTCAGCCGAGGGTGTAGACCACCAGCTGACACACCACTCACTCAAGCACATCAAATCCAGCCGATCAGTGATGACAGAATGTTGACACACGTGATCAAGCAGATCAAGCACCAGCTGACCGAATGACTCTTCCTTGGGAAAACTCTTGTCTGTGTAATTAATGATTTTTATTTTAGTATCACTAATAGTTTCTGTTAATATTATGAATTAGGCTATATTTTTTTTGTTCTCACTTCAGTCTTAAAGTTTCAGTAATTTTGTTGTGTTTTTGTCTTTTTTGTAAATGTCTATATAGTGTTTTATTGATTTTTGTTTATTAGTTAGTACTTAAGTTTAAGCTTCTTTTAATTTCAGTTAACATTTACTTTATTTCAAATAGCAAAAAAAAAAAAAGGTTTAGTTCAATTAACTATAATATCCCTGGTTCTTGGGTGACCTGCATGATTAAATAAAATTGAACAGAATTAAATAAAGTTGTACAAACATTATGTACAGAAATGTTTTCTGTGTAGTAGCCCAGTTACCGTGTTTACAAACTGTAAAAAGTCTTGAGTCTGTTTATTCAGGCTTAAAAAGAGAATATCTATTATATTTGAGGTTTTGAGAAGGTAAATTGTTTTTACACACATTTCATTTAATAAAAAGTAAGAATTTTTTCACAATATTATATAGCCTATTTTCACAAAAAGATTTTGTGGTTTGTAGTATCTGAGGAGACACATCTAGAATTTGTGCCATGTTTAAGATTTTTCCCTAATATATTTGTATTTCTAATTGTGTGCCTTTTTCTTTTTTTTCTTTTTTCTTCTGTCCTTTTCTTAAGAATTTTTATATTATATTGTTTTTTCTGTGATGTTTTATCTATTAATCCTCAAGTAGTTTATTATTGATTGGTATTTTGTATGTTTTGTACGTACTGTTTTTTACTGTTTGTTTTGTACGTACTGTAATCCTTGTTGTATATTGCAATAAAAAAAAATAAAAAAAAAAAGTATCTAAGGAGACCTTCTGTAAATTACCCTATAGCGCCATCTGCTGATGCTTACAAAATACTATGGCGCATGGTGGTATTTACATTCATTGTATTACAATTTAGAATACCATATATTAATTCCCTGGCACATGTCTAGGGGGGGAAACATACTTTGACACCTTTTTTATTTTTTATTTTATTTTATTTTAATTTTTTGTAAGAGGAGACTTAAGAACTCTGGGCCATTTATTCGCACATTTAGTTGACCAATAGAGGGCAACACCGAAATATAAATATAAGTGTATATTTATATTGTATATAATTCACATTTATTTGGTAGGTGTTTTGTTCCTTTTATCGAAGCGACTTGGATGTAAGATGCATATTTTGTGCATGAACATAAAATATTCCAGTATCATTATTACCTGAAACGAACTTTTTAAATGAAGGATAACGTTAACTATCCAGTAGGCTACAACTTTAAGTAGCAGAGAGCTGCGGTTTAGTGCAAGTTAAGTCATTGGTCTGTACTAACTGATAACAAATATACCAAGTCCGATGTCTTACCTGTTATTAAAACTGGGTGGGAGCTGAAAGCCTCCCAGAAACTACCGAGCATCATTATAGAGCCTCAAACCAGGCGGTAGGGCAAGATTATCCCTCAGTTCTCTCAGATCGGCTGCATATAGACGTCTGCTGCTGCAGCGGGTCATTTCAGTTTGTGGGTGTTTATGTGTGTGATCCTCCCTAATGTGGTTGTGCTCAAACCACGGGAGCTGAAACCCTCCTGCTTCCTCCTGAAAGCAGAAGAATCCTACTGAAACTCTAATGAAGAAAAAGCAGATAGCAGCAGAAAACAGAAGCTGTAATCACTCGATACAAGAACATCTGTTTCAGAACAATACGAGTTTCCCACAAGAGGTTATCACTGCTGTCCTGGAGCAAAGTAACTAACCCGGGGCTGATGCATGGGAACTGTCCCTGTAATAAGTGAACTGTAAATAGCCTCAGATAAAAGTGTCTACATGAATGCTCACAAGCAGCAAATAATTCGTTTTTGGATTTGGACATATTAGCATGCATGTTGCGTTACAAAACTGCTAGAAACACTGAAGTCGCGGAGTTTCAGATGCCAGAATTAAGACTTTTGCTGAAGACAACAAAGCCGAGAACCTCGCAGAAGATCTCACTTTTAGTTTACACTTTTGTACAGTTTTTAACCAATGATCTTATTGCAGGTGTTCGCCTCTCTTTCTCTCCCTGGAAAGACTGCCAACTAGTCTTAAGTCAAAACATATTTTAATTGAGTCACAGAGTGATTATTCAGTGCATTTGCCTAGTTTTTATCAAAAGAACATGTTGAAGGCCATGTGAACCAAAACAGCAACTTAGTATCAGTGCAGGTGCAAGTTCAGCGGATGCCAGAGGCCTAAAATCATAGTTTCATCCAGGCAATTCTACAAACACATCTTAAAAGTCTGATAAAAAATATACTATACTATAATGCTAACGCTGTGCAAAATCAAACATGCTCACATCATATTGCATACTTTACAAAAAATAAAACCTGAAAAAACGTGGTTTTGTTTTGAATGTTATGTTTTTATATAA